GTCGACGTCCTCGACGTCCTCGACGTCCTCGGGATCGTCGATCGTCGTCGGTACGGTGGTGCGTTTGGTGTGGTTGGTGAGGGTGTTGGTAGTGGTGTAACAACGTCGGAGGTTTTTCGTGACAGGGATACTACGTCAGGATCATCGTCGTCGCCGGCGCCGAGTGATCAACACCTGGTGAACGAAGCACGGAGAACCCGTGGTTGCAACGGCTACGGAACACCACAACTGCGTCAACATGCCGCGCTGCCTCATGGCCAAGAAATGGAAGGCCTACCCGTGGCCGGATCGTGTCGACGATCCACAGGAAGAACAGAACGATCCTTCGAACATTCTACAGGAGCAGGGGAACCACGGGATACAGCAGACTTCCGCGTCATTAGAGAAGAGGCAACACAGGCATGAGCCAGAGGACGAGGAGATCGACGTGGTTGGGGATACGGATAGCAGGCAAGTCGATCATCAGCAGACCTGTTGGGGTCCGCATAGTCCAACCGCTGGTGCCACTGCACCTAGTCCACCACCACTGAACGCATCTGGTGCTCTGTATTATCATGGTGAGTAGGTAATCTTTAGTGTTATCAGTTGAAACTGGTCGTCAGAATACGTATATGAAAGCAACCAGCTATCCCTTAAATCTGGCCTAATATAAAATTCCACGTGTTAGGTTAAGAAGAATCCCTTGAAGGAATTACACGATCGTCTCATTTACGATAAACGCTAGATCATCGTAGCCTACCCTCTATTTACATCTTCGTGCCACGCCCTACATTGCCCAGATTCCATGGATTCTAATCTCGCGCGTAGCATCGCGAATTGCGATGAAGAGGACCGTGCCACCACTGGTCACAGAGACTCTTTTACCCTCCGAGATTGGACCCTGGAGTCTGGCCATGCGTCGAGCCACGGGGGTGACACACCCGCCGATTGGCCGATCGGCTGCGCTATAGAGAAATTGCGGTACTCTACCGCGACGATAACACGAGGCATGCTCCCCATGGGACTCGCAGAAACGGATGCGAGATAACTATCGTGTGGACAACGTCTCCTTCGACCGACTAACCCCTCTTCATCCCTCTTGATTTAATGATTTTCCTCGTTTAGCTCGCGATCGTGCGATGGATTCTGGCCATGCGTCGCACGCACACGTATGAATACACGTGCACACGTACACATGCCCGCACATAGACGTAGGCACAGACACGTTCACGCGTTCAGCGACACACCCGCCAGGCCGATCGTTGATTCTACTGCGGATCTTTGGGTGGATCGAAGCAAAAGGGGAGGAATGATTCCTCTTCCTCGCTCTCCCTCTCGTCCCATTTAGGTCACGTTCCTTTTACGAACAAAGCGTCCGGCTGTGTTTTTTTTTGGAACCGCCTTTTCTCTTGTGTCTCTCAGACAGATCTCGCGTTATGACAAACGGGGACATCGGATTTTCGGCAAACGCGCACTGATTCGCTTTACGTACCTCTGCCTGCAGTTTTTCATCCTAAAAGACTCTCGTTAATATCGACGATCTCTACTTATTATTTTTCTCCACGGTTAAAATATACGAACGAACATACGGATAAATTATTCGTTGATTCCAAAGAAATAAGAATTTCCCGTATTTATTTCAGCTAATAATAAGTGGTATAACTCGTAATATCCGAAACCAAATCTCTTGAACTCTCGTAGTTTCGTGCCTTAAAATCCCAATAAAATTACCAGTTGCATTATTTATTTCTGTTTATCTGTAGAGATGGTAGGTCATTTTGAAAGTGCATTGAATATTGCTGCTCTGCTCTGCGCTAACTGAATCGCACGTTTAAAATACCGCCACAGAGAGAGCGCACAGAATTAACTTTACATTCATAAAGTAGGAGAAACATTCCAATGTGCAATTTGGGTCAGATCTTGGTATTAGCAACTCCATTTCCAATCGAAATCCAAAGTCTGGATTCATTAGTTATTTCGAGACGTCTGCGATATTTTGAAACTACTTCGACGAGCCATTGTTTAGAAGAGACACGATGATGAACAAAATTAGCTACTCGAAACAGAAATTACTAGCATTTCGAGGCTACCCTCTTCGAGAACGAGCAATTTCACGAACAATACATGTTTTAGCTGGAAACTCAAACAACGACGAGTTGGAAAACCAACAACAAACAGGGTACATGTTGAGTGCATTCCACAAGTTGACTCGAACGAACGCGTACATAAAAAATATGTGCCTTGTCTATCATGGGGTTGGACATTTCATCTACTTGTTTATTTATAGCCCATTAAAGCTATAAGCACTTCGATTGCTTGGCTTATGACGTATTTTTGTTATCCTTTGTTACGCAATGAAAACGCTCGCATTTGTCTCTCTCTTTCTTTTTAACAATCACGTTGATCAGTTGGTTGCAAAAAATTCACGCGAAAGCAGCTGTTAATTGAATTCAGTTATCGATTATAACGCCCGACCGTCGGGTCTTTAACATGGCGCGAAGTGTTATGTAACACGTGTACCACCACGACGCCGCGACGGCGTGGTCGTGATTCAACGTAGAATTTATGAAAAACAAAACAACGATCGTTCATCGTTCTTATCGCGGAATTTGCATACCGGTAAACGTGTCCTCTTGTTTTATTCCAATCCTCGAATAAATATCGTTTGAGAAGAATTTCAATAAATATCCGTTTGTATTGTTCTGATTCTTGAATATGACATATCAAATGGTGAATTATTTTTATAATTTTTAATAATTATCATCGATGAAATAATTTCTATTTTTACCGTTATTTCGATATTACCGTTATTGGAGAAATATTTTGGCTCGTCATTGGAAATCGTGAGAGAAAACTGTAATTCCTTGGATATAATTTATTCGTAACCTTTCATCCAGTGTTCGATTTTATACATCGTCGAACGCGACCTTGTCAGATCAGAATTCAGGTCGAAAATATGTAAGAACGACGTGGCATCGATTAAACGGCTTCCTTTTACTGTGACTCTCAACACACGAATAAACGAGCTGCATTTTCTTCGCGGTCACGTAATGCCTCATTGTAAGGGCTGCTTCTCACGCTTTCCTCCTATCATATGATTCTCTTTTCACAATGTTTACGTCCGTCTAATTTATAATGTTAACCGATGCGAACAAATCATTAAATGCCGGACAAAATATAATATTTTAGAACGATTGTATTCCTCGCTAAACACTCACAATTGTACGAAATCATCAGCCTCGGAAATAAATAGCTTTAGATAGTATTAAAGCTCAGAAAGAAATCCTTTTATTTTTGATCGACTTATTGCTCCGTAACCAATTGAATTACGCATTAAAAAAGCATGTTGGTTCGAAGAATAACTAGTCTGAATCAAGTTTATGCTAGGTTTAAGTTAATTCCGATGCGATATTTTTAATAATTCCACGAAGTTGTGTGGATGACGAACAATTAAAGGAATGGCTTGGGTTCGAAATTAGAAGATTCGAATTAATTTTAGGCAAAGTTTGGCTTACGTTCGAATCACCTTCGGATTTGGTTTTTATTCCGAAAAAGAAAAGTTAGGTCTGCGAATTTTCCAAAACGTCGCAGCCAGAATTTTCGGAATCATCGGCGGCCCGGATCCGTGTCGGCGGATACGCTAATTGCCAGCTTTATTATCGCGACTCGCGAAACGGACGCGCTCGCTTGACACCCACTGCGGCTCCGCGCGTTGCGCAAACGCGCGTCACATCGCGTTTTTCGTCGCAGCGGTTCCCAACAATCCCGGAATCCTCACCGAATTCAAACAAGCCTCGAACAACCGCGTTAAACCATGTATCATTCTTCAAAAAATTGGAAAATATCTATCGGCCTTTCCATCGAAATTATTCTATCAATCTCTTTCAAACGGTTCAATATCTTGTGTAATATGCTACCGATAATGTAGCGTGCACGGCTGGTTCGGAACGATCGGCGAATAACAATAGCAAAAAGGACCTTACGTCGCCCTTTGAAAGGCTAGAATCAACAGACTCGTGGGAGCGTGCAGAGCGTTCATTCGACATTATTGATTCTCACCCTCTCCCCTGGCCCCTCTGTCTCTCCTTCAACCCTCCCGCTCTCTTACCCTCTTTCCACTCACGGTCTCTGTCTATCCCTAGGCCGTTGATGAAATGCACTTCCAGACACGACCGCTCTCTTCTTTCTCTCCCTTTCTCTCGCTTACCCTCTCTTTCTCATCTTCCTTTGTGTGTGTTCGAAAGTGTACGTATAGGTTTGCGTGTGTATGTGTGTTAACTTCCTTTTATTTCAGCCAATAATAGATGCGCGCCGGTTGATCGATCGTCGGCCACGGTTTTCTGATTTATTGCTGTCACGCCCGTCCCTTACCCCTCTTCTGCTGTCGGCCCACCGAGGAAATAGACCCCCTGCGATTCGTCAAAGCGCTGCTCTTTATTCGCCTTCTTTCCACAATCGAGAGATTTACGTGTCAACGGGGCTCTCCTGTTAATTCTCATCCGACTTCTCTGCTTTCGGCGCTAAATCATTTTTCTTTTTTCGGTGTTGATAGTTTATCGTATTCGTGAGGAACGACGGAGCGACGTAGAACGGTCGTCCTCGACCTTTGTCGAAGCTAGAGATTTTAATATCGTACGTAAGAAGATTCCTCGTTCTTAAAAACTGCGATATCTGCACACGCTGAAGTGCCATCTGTTGATATCAACGGCTCCCTTTCCATTATTCAGACGTTACGATCCGGTAATCCTTGTTGTTTATGAATCTCGAACTTCTTAAAGTAGCATGGACTTGTTTTATGGATGTTTTGTCGAATCTTCTTTAAAGAACCTCTAATACGACTTTATATGTGCGATATGTGTCACGGTATTGTCCACGAATGATACAACATATTGTTCCTGCAACTTCAGCGACAGTTTCGTCCCGTTAGAACGTAACGTAATTTGAATAACGATACTCTAACAAAATCCACGTCCAAAAATATGAAAAACCATGTTTCGTTGAGATAAAAGTTATACTTGAAACTAATTAATTTTTGTTGTGTTACATACCTTTGAGTATTCGTATGTATAATTTCGTTAATTTAATAAGTACGAATTAATCAAAATTGCTGTTAGCAGTGAAAAGATCTCGTTTATAGAGCGTTTACTGTCCGTCGAAAATCAGCAGGAATAGTCTGACTGATCGATGACAATTAGGCAGGATGATCGCGTAATTAACAGTGCTGCTTGACGAACGATGATTATCGCGGCTGGATGGCGCTAGTGTTGGGATCAAAGGATCGGGTCAACGAAGGGAGGGGGATAAATCCTCGTGACGAGAATGGAAGTCGAAGGAATAGGAGTTTCTCTGTCTTACGCGGTTCGAAAGCTTCGCACGAGGGAGGAAATCGATTTTGAAAATCCGCTGAGTACGTGCGGATTATCGGTTTAAGGATTGCCGTTCGACGAGCGCGGCTTTCGACGCTGCAACGGGGTCAACACCTTCCGCGATTTGTTGCATTTGCGGAATAAACTAGCTTCTGTTTGCCGAAGACCTTCCTGCAATCCCATCGTTGATGCAATTTTCTAGGCTTTACGTA